AGATCTGTGTATGGGGTTGGCCACAGGGGCCCACCAGGGCCTGCAAGGCTGGACTGAGGTGGACTGTATGTTGAGATGGAGCCAGCAGCCCAGCCCATGCCTGATAGTCTGGGGTCAGCCCTGGGAGGCGGGGCGTGGTCAGACACAGCCGGATCTTCTGGCTGACAGGTGCGTGCCAGGGATGGTGAGGGGAAGGGCCGGGCAGCAGCTGGTAGGCTTGGAGGCAGGGGGTGCTCAGGGTACATGTCTTATGAGACAGATGCAACACTGAGATTGCAAGGGGTATTTCACAGCGAGGACCAAGAATCTCTGGGGGCGGGGCCTTTGCTTTCTAGGCGTGCATATTTGAGTTGTGGCGGGGTCCTCTTAGAGCAAAGGTGAGGAACCTTTTTTTTGCCAAGGGCCATTTGGGTATTTGTAACATCATCTGCAGGCCAAACAAAATTATCAACTTATAAATTAGCCTGCTATGTTTGGTCAAACATTTAATTAACTGATCCCTAATGTCTTGGCAGGGCCAGACCAAATGATTTTGCAGGTCTTATACGGATGTTCCCCACCCCTGTCCTAGGGTATGGAGACAGGGAAGTGGTAGGTGGTGGGTGAAGCCAGTAGTGAGCAAGGGAAGGAGGTCTCAGAGAGCTGAGAAAGGGCACTAGGGAGGCGGAGTCACTCAGGGAGTCCTGACCGCTAGATCCCAGACTGCAGGCCAGGAAGTGATTGGGGGTGGGACGGGCGGGGAGTAGCTGTGGGGAATAGGCCTGAGAGGAGGATCTGACACACTGACATAGTTTATCCCTAGTTGGGTTTGTTTAAATTAAATGCTTAAAATGCCTGCTTAGCATCTCACCTGCACCATACAGACCCCGCTAGCCTCAAGCAGGCCATGGGCTTAGAGCCACAGCGAGCTACAGCTCAGAGCCTAGCAGGCCGGCTGGGCCTGTGTCTTGTGCTCTGGGAGGGCCGAGTGACCCTCTGGCTGGCTGGGGGTCTTGGCAGCCACTCAACTTGAGGCTACCTGCATCACCCCCACTGCTAGACAGAAGGTGGACAGGGTGTCCCAGTAAAGTTTTGGAAAGAAAATTAACAGAACAGAGGTCAGCATCAATGAGAAACCAGTCTGTTCAGTTTCACCCAGATTTGCTTTAAGAAATAGGCCCAACAGGAGGCTTAAGCTGCTTGATTCTTATCTTTCTCTCCTCCTCCTTGTTCCCTTCTTGCACTTGAGGCCGCTCCTTCTCAGCGCCCCTCGTCCCCTCTTCCCCTGCACACCCTTTAGGAGCTGGACCTTCCCTTGCGTCTCCTCTCTGTTCTCTGTTGTCCCCTTTTGAGTCACCTGTTTCCAGATGACAGCCAGCCCAGGCGTCTCTCCTAATCTCTGACCTCATGAGTTTGATGGACAGCTCTTCACCTCTCCCTAAAAGTTCATTCTTCTTCCACTTCTCCGACACCTGCTCTGTCTCCTGAGCAGTCCTCCATACCCTGCCTCCTCTCACCAGCCCACTGTTCTGCCTCCCTAACCCCTTGTCTCCATTCCCAGGTCCTGCCACGCCCAGGCCCAGCCTCACCCTCCCACCTAGATACTGCAACAGCCACCATCTGGTCTCCCTGAGCTGGCCTCCCCCTGCCCTGTGGCCCACCTGGAAGCTGGTAGGATCTTTCTATGCTCCACGTCGGACCACGTTGCTCCCCCGTTAATCTCTTCAGTGGCCCAGCTGCCCCCAGGAAGATGCATGTGGCAGGGAAGAAAGGGTAGGAAAGGGCAGGCTAGGCCCAGCAGCCTGATGGCTCCGCTCCTCTCCTGCTTCTAGAGTCCCAGGGCCCTGACCTGCACAGTTCCCATCATCCCTCCTAGTCTCCATGCCTTTGCTGGGGCTGTTCCCTCACAACCCTCATCTGTGTGAAGGGATGAGGCCTCAGCAGAGGGGCTTAAGGTTTGGAAGTCACAGTGATGGTCTCTTCGCCAAACCCCACCAGTCCCCTACTCTATGGCCCCAGGGATGACTGGGGGCCTTGGCTTAAGCAGGCCATTTCTCTCAGGACAAATGGCAGTTTTCATGCATTTATTATGTTTGCAGTCTGCACACCACAAAGGTGACCAGCCCCTCATACCTTCAGCTCTACCCAGCTAGAAACAGGACTGAGGGAAAGGAGGCTCCAGCAGTGTTGGTCTATTTCTTCCCTCAAAACTAAAGGAGGGAGAGCCTCATGTGTGGCCCTATGGGGTGTCTCTGCAGGATCAGAGGCTCTGCCCACATGGCCAACACCAGCAGCCTTGGAGCTTGGGGAGTAGGGGGTGAAGTGCTCACCCAATTACTTCAACCTCCAGTCCTGGGAAAGTCAAGATCTGAGTTCTAATTCTGTGTCCTCTTGCAGGCACTCACGTGTTCCATCCCATCACCTGATCCTAGCTGTGTGTTGGGCACATAGTGGGCAGATAATAGGAACCCGGATGACTGACTGTCAAGTGTCAACCCTGCCCCCAGCAAACCTAGAGTCCAGCCAGGGTGGCTTTAGCTACCCAGCTTTCTGGGTACCAGCAGCCTGCTCTAGACCTCAGACTCATTCCCTCCCGCCTTTCCTTTCCTCGTCCGAGGCAGTCCATGGCAACGACGTGAGGGTGACTAGAAATGAGCACCAGACAAGCAGAACTAACATCCATTTCTTGGGGACATCTGAGCAGATGTCACACAGCACACACCTCGCAGAATGTGCTCTTCCCACTGATGAGGTCACCTGACTCGAGTTTCCCTTTCCTCTCTACCTTTCTCAGCAAGGGTGAATACAAATGATATGCAAACATATTCAAAATATGTAAATGAGCGCTGTCCAGAACCAAGGTCCCTAATGCAGGACAAGTTCCTAGGGATGCGTACAAAAGACCCAGCGCTATCTCCCTTGTTCTGCTTGTTCTTCCCCCTCAAGTTCCACAAAAGAAGATCCTCACCACTTTTGTCCAGTCTCCTGAAGGTGACGTTTGCCACCCACTCTCACTGAGGCCTTAGTGAAGATCCCAATCATCTTCCCCCTCCCTGTGGACTGCCAGCCTCATCCACCTCCTCTTCTGTTCTTCCTTCCAGTCACCATCACCTTGGGCCCTCAAAACTCTCTACCCCCAGCCTGGCAACACCCTCCCCCTTCCAAAAAAAATTTAATTTGCCAACGTTTGGGAGGGGGAATGTTCTTATAATGGTTTTGCTGTCCTGGTTCCTGGACTGAGGTTCCCCATTTGTCGGGGTCTCTGTGTTGCTAGTTTCTGCTTTTATTCCTGAGAATGGCCCAGAAGTTTGAATTATTGATGGATTCGAGAGTAGAATTACCAGGTAAACTTTAAAGCTTCTGATATTTATTGCCAAACTGCTCTCCACCCAACTCATTTGAGAGTGTCTGTTTCATAGCATCCCTACCAGCTCTGGCTTTTAGCCTTAAAATAAAATTTTAAAAAGTTTATTGGGTAACGATATCTGGTTCCAGTTTACTGGATACTTAAATTGTATACCTTCATTTTTGTGAAGTCCTGCCTCGATGCCTTTTTTACGCATTGTAGGAGTTTGTATTTTCTCCATCTTGGGTGTATCAGACATACCCTCTCTGTGGGCACTGTATTCCACAGGAGGCCTGCTGCGGAACAGGACCGAACTGCCTGCCCAATTGCTGAGCCCAGTGCTGTGTTTTCAGACTTTTCAACTAAGCAGCAGAACCTTTTCTGAAGCAATCTCACACAGCACCCTTAACTAAAACATTATTGAAGGAGCCCCTGTCTTACCTGAGGCCGGGCCGATGGGACCTTCTTTTCCTTCTGTCTGAAGAGTGGATGTCACTGTGGGGTCAAGGACCTGAAAGGAGATGATGAGCGGTTTATAGAGGCGGCTGGAGCTCAACCCGCAGCAGAACAGCCCAGCACAGGTGAGCCGGGTACAATGGCCCAGGGGCCCCGCCCGGGCTGCAGGAGGCACTGCCGCACCCTCCATGTCGCCGAGGAGAGGGTGTGGGCCCCGCTGTCCCCGTGGACTTAGTGCAGCCAGAGAGGGTGGGAAGGGAGGTTTGTGGGACTGACTTGGACAGGTCGGGCAGCGGGCGGAAGCGTGTGGGGTGGGGGAGGGGAGAGGCCAATTCAGAGCTCCTGCCGCGGGCCTGGGTTTGATCTGATAGGTGAAGCCAGAACAACCAGAGCTCTCCCCAGGGGAGACCTGGGGTGGGGGGAAAGCTGAGCCAGGCCCAGGAGGAGGAACAGTGGTTACCAGGACTGGACTTGGGGGGGCAGGGAAGCCTGTGGGGAGGAAGAACTAGGGGGTTTGGCAGCAGATAAGGGAGGGGAAGTACACAGGACCCAGAAGAGTGGCTCAGGGGAGGTGGAGGGGGGTGGCAGGGAAGGCTGCTATCAGCTTCCCGCCTCACTCACAAACCCAGTCTGAGATCTCTGCCCAAGTCACTGGTGCCCCACGGGGGGCTCTTAGGCTGGTCCTGTTGCCTGGCCCGCCCCACCCTCCTAGCTGGGTCCCTGGCCCGGAGTGATATCTGGTCCCACCCCCTGATTCTGGCCCCAGGCAACCCTCTGAGCTTGCCCTTTGGCTTCAGATAAACAGTGCAGGATCTGCCCGCCCCACCCTCCTAGCTGGGTCCCTGGCCCCGCGTGATATCTGGTCCCACCCCCTGATTCCTGGCCTCTGAGCTTGCCCTTTGGCTTCAGATAACAGTGCAGGATCCTTAGCCCGGTCCTAAGTCCAGACCCCAACCTCCAGCCGATCTTAGCTCCTGGCCCTGATCCCTGGATTCAGGCCCTGGAAGTTGAGCCCCCATCGGGCGAGGGCTCCCGGGAGGCGCTCCTTGGCTCTCCACCTTCTCCAGCCAGTTCTGCTGCCTGCCCAAAGCCCTCTAACCATCCCACAGCCCAGGTAGGGAGACTGTTCCCACCCCAGCTCCCCACAGGACCATTCCCTGTTCTTTATGTGAAGTCACCCAAACTAAGTGTTTCAGAAGAATCTGAAACTGGAGTCCCAGTCCCTCTACCCCCAAGCCAGAGATGTTTGCAGAATGACTGGAAGGAGTGACTCCTCACTTGGCAAACAGTTGGTGCCCTCCTGATTAGGAATCCATACAGAATAACTCCCGTGACACGTGGGTTCCAGTCATGAATGGTGTTGGGCGAGTTATTTAACCTGTGAGTCTCAGATGCCCCCTCCCCTGTAATCCCGTGGGTCACTATAAAGTCTTGAATGGCCACGGCCAGGACCAAATGAGCATGGATGGGTACTTGGTGCTGCCAGATGAGGGTGGGGAGGAGGAAGTCGGAGCTCCGAGGTCCTAGCTCTACCCGAGGTGACCTGTGTTTCCCTACGGGCCCTTGCTTCAGTGTGGGCACCCTGGCTTATTTCCTTTGAGTTAAGCATCTGGGAGGTAGGTGTCTCTCCCACCCGCAGCCTGGGAGCCCAGCCTCCTGAGAGGTCCTGGCTGCTGTCCTGGCCTCCAGCGGAGGTCCTGTCCCTGTCCCTGCGACATCTGCCAGGGTTGCAACCTGCATGAACCTCTGTCCTTCACCCTCTTGGTGGGCTCACTTGACCTCAGACCACAGGCTGGCAACCCTGGGAAGAGGCAGGCCTCCCCTGAGCCACCCGGCCTGTGCGCCTCGGGTCCACTGCCCTCCGCTCACTCCTCATCTCCATGAGAGTGTGTCAGGGACATTCCCTCAACTGTCCCCCAGACCGGCCCCTCTCGCTGTCCAGCCTTGCTCCCTTACCAAACCCTTCTGGAAAAAATCCCCTGTGTGTTTTTTAAAACTAGAATTAAATGACAGGAACTAACTATTTAGGGAGGGGTTCCTGTGGGGAAATGGAATCTCCACAACCTTAAAATTACAGGACATTAAAATTACATGTCAGATCGTTGATATTCTGAGCCAGACCTTGTTTTGAGATGTGCTCTCCTCTGTCCTTTCCCAAACTACAGCCTTCCCCCCCGCCTCTTTGAAAATAAGATCACATCAAGTCAGGGATTAAAATGGGAAAAATTCCACCAGAGCCTCCCTCTGCCAGCCACGCGTCTCAGTCCCCTCCCAGGTGAGCAGACTCAGCTCCCGCCACCACCCAGCTCAGCAGCATCATTCAGAACGCACCGGCAGGAACTGGTGAAACAGAAGGACCTTTCATCCCGGGCGTGGGGCCTGCAGCGCGGCTCTCCTACTCTGGAAGCTGGCGGTGCCTGAGCCAGCGGAGTCGGGGCCTCTTGCTTAAGTAGGCAGTGGGAGTGGGGCCGGGAGGCCTGAGGGGGCGGGCACGGAAAGTGGGCCATGTACCCAGCACAGCAAGGCAGTGTCCATAGAGCCAGCCATGGTCCTCCGCACGCGCCTGCCTGCTTGTCCACCAGGGGCCTCCAGCCCACAGGCCCCTAGACCACAGACCGGCACCTGGGCTGACCCCTGATGGACGTGCAGCTCCAAGGGAGTCCATGTCCCCAGACACACAGAGCTTGGTCCACGTTCCTGGATGCCTCTGCCTCTCCCGAGACACTGCCCGGGCAGCAGAAACAGCTGTGGAGTCGGACCGGCCGGCTCCCGAGGCCAGTAAGTCGTGGCCTCAGGCCAGACATTTTTCCAAGCCTCAGTTTCCACTTTCTTGAAATAAGGACAATAACCCAGACTTCATGGG